CCGGTCACGTGACGTCGCCTCCGCGCCGCGCTCACCACCGTCACCAATATGGCTGCCGCCTGCCATTCCGCTACAGTGGCGACGTCTGAGGGCGCAGCCATATTGGTCCAACTGGCCTCAGCCAATCCTGTGTCTCTCTGCGTTCCAATGGCATGCGAGGAAGACAGGCAGCCAACCAGGGAAAAACACTAACAAGGAACAGTATATAATGAACGGGGTGGCCGGCGTGGTGGACTCGGACGGAAGGCGCCTGACGGGTGGCTCTGGCTTCTGATTGGTCAATAAAGCCTGTTCTGTTGTACCAGTCTTCTTTCTATCAGGGCTCGGGTATTCTACACAGCATCTTATAAACCAGCACTAAGATAGTAAATAAGGCATGCTTGGTGCACTGGTTTGAAGTGGAATATGAAGTTCAGTCAAGTGAAATAAGTGACTTAGTTTCCACAATCGTTGCTGTGTTAAGATGTTTGTAGTGCTGAAACATCAATGTCCTGTGCTGTAGCTACGTGTAATGGACCGCCAGCGGAAGCGTATGAGCAGACGCGTAGAGGAAAATGGTTACGGCAATTTGATTGGCATTTGTGACCCACTCTCACCTTTCATTGGTCGCTGCCCGCAAGTACACTGTGCACACGCTCAAGCATGCTGAAACCCATCATATGTAGAGGGCGGGTAATAGAACCCGTGTCTTAGTTGTCAGGTCCTGTGTTTACCTCGGTGCTGCTAAGTGCGTATTCTAAGTAGCAATATTCTGAGCAATCCAATGAAGGAATGATGGGGCGACAGCTCTACAAATTCAAACCAACCAGCTTGTTGCAAAAATAACCCCTTTTTATTTTGTCTGGCAATGTGCATCAGTTTGATTATAAAAATGAAATGTCTTGCGAACGCTTCGAAGGGAATGCTGACAAGCACTTAACTTAAAAGTGCTGGTCACCATGTTCGATGTGGCACTTGAAACAGCATAAAATTCTCCAAACCTTGTTCATGGCGCAATCGAATCGAAAGCTTCTATCAGACGCAATTTTCAAGACCTTATCACCGTCTTTCAGCCAACTATTTTTAAGTTGTGGCAAATGTTTCAGTCAGGAGTAAAGTTCCAACTCGAGCCTAAAATTCCGTGTAGTTGATTAGCTTCTAAGTCGAGGTGCTGTTGTTTCGAATCGGTTATAACAGTATTACTGGAGTAATGTTAACTTATTTCTACTTTTTACTGTTGCTATTTCTAATGATTAAATCCAAATTCAGGCGATCGCCGTCAGCTCTAAAACCATCTATATAAAGCAAGAGAACCTGGTAAAGGTAAGGTGTCAATTAGCGACTTTTAGTAACTTCTGTTCCATTAATTGCAAGCAACCGACGAAGGAATTCCGGCAAGGTAAATGAGGCAGACACGTTTTCCTACAAAACTGGAATTGTCATACACTTTGGAATTTTGCAGCCGAATCCACCTGGGATCTTGATGTCTGTAGTGCGGCATTCCAAACCTCACGGGTAATGATTACTTAAATGGGAAGAAATATCTGCCAGAAATTCCTTGGCTGTCTTTCGAAGGAGCTGTGAGCGTCCATTTGGGGCAAATTTAGTAGTAGTGCGGTAGGCAAAAATACCTGTTGGTTGGGCGTCAGGTAAAGGATTGTGCATTCCTCAAACAAGCCCTATCTATAGAAACATTAAATCCAACATTCTTGTTTCTCAAGCTATTCGCGGATGCGCAAAATCACCTTTACACAAAGCGTTTGCAACAACCAGAAGTCGAATTTTCGACGATACACGCACGCAGATCTACAGGAATGTGTACTAAAATTATCAATGTCATGGACAGATGTTACAGCGAATTTGGTCGTGCCGATAATATGATTAGTATATATCATTGCCTTTGATAAACGTTTAGCAGGAGAAAAAGAACGGGCATTTTAATTTGTTAACATTTTTGCATAAAGAGAAGAAGAATATGTTGAAAACTGTGTAACAATTTGCAGTTTAATTGTCTTAAGTTGCCTATTCCTTATTGGGATTTTCGCAAGGTAAGAATTAATTCCTTCAGGAAATTTTAGACTTGTTTAGTAGTGTTTGACCTCATTGACGCAAAAAGTATTTTGAAATTGACGAAAAGATACACACGTGTTGTGGGGTCACTAATTTTTGCGGAGCCCAATTACGCTTCCCTGGTACCCACGATGAAGAAGAAGAAGACAGAAGAGGACGTGGACACAACGGTTTACTTCAGTGCTCAACCAAGCACGTGCCGTTGTGTCCCGTGTGGCGTTTGCGTGTGTGCATATATACCTCAGATGTGTGAATCATACATGCGCTAACATAGAGGCCTAGCTGTGAGGCTAATCCAGGATAAATGTTCGTGCGAATGAGGTGGGAGTTGAGAATCCCCGCGGATGGCGACATGGGGCGAAAAGAGGGACCCGGTGTCGGAGGCTGGAGTGATCGGGTAAGCGAGTGTGAATCAGCGCCATTCACAACACGCATATTCCAATCATACCACCTGAAATAAGTACTTCCTGACACGAAAATACGGCGAACTGCGCTATCGGAATGGCCTCAGTGTAGTTTGGCGTTGATGTTGAGGTAGGCTATTTTTTGAAAGGCGCCTGTAAATAAAACCTGTTTTAATTCAACTTTTAATAACTGCCACTCGCATCGCCAAAAGAGGGGATTCAAAATTAGCTGCCACTGACTGCCAAACTGAACTGCTTAAATAAGATTTTTCGCTTAAATTTGACTGACAATTGTGCTGATGGTAAACAAAGTCATGACTGAATCGGACGACTGACGAATTTCTGCGCATTAAGTGGTGGTGGGGTGGATTCTTTATCTCAAAAATGGACATAAATAGGGCGATGGAGGCGCCGTATGCCCTTTTCTTTATCGAACAAAAAATAGAGTCTACTTGTATTCTTTGTATCTGTAGTCTGTTCAACTACCAATGTGGATTTCAAACGGCTCGAATTTGCGCAATGCGCACCGTCAAAAGTGCGCATTTCACGTCCTTTAACTAAAAAAAATTCCGATAAATACTGGCCATCACCACAATGAGGATTAAATTCATGCCTGTTATATGTTGGTGATTTCAAAATTGTGTTACAGCAATTACCCAATCATCTTTTCTTCAAAAAATCAGTTTCCCCCTTAAACAAGCCAATCAGCTATAACTTTTGATCAAACGATCGCACGACTACTGCTCAGTCTCTCGCCCAATCGCCGTGTTCCGTGTTCACTGAAGTTCTTGAAATCTATTCACATAAATCAAGCAGCTTAAAGGTGTGCATTGGAAAAAATCTGCTATTTACTAAAATAGTCTTTAAATTGCCTCTAAGTAACACCTGATATAGAAAGGTGTTGATGAGTCAATTATGGAGTTTTGTGGGTGATCTCACGATCACATAAGCACTCCATTCAAGGTTTTAAAGCGGTGAACCCACGCGTCATGCTGTAATGACCTTGAGGCTGGACCAATCGTCGTGGGGCAAGGATTGCATAATTCTGGCAAAACACACACGTACACGTGCAACTTATTTAGCTAGTAGAGGGAGAACACACACGAGCCTATCAAAGCCGCGCCAGCTTGCGCCCCGCACATAAAAACTCCACCAAACCTCGCAAACTAATCTGACGATCGACCAACGAGAGCTGTTGTTAGCTGCTCTAGATCACACATTTAAATGCTCAAATGCTGCTGCTGTGCACTGTTCTCCTCTGTGTTTCCCTCCACACACATCCAATCAACGGTGGACCCCCTAGCCGCTGTGATGCCACGCCCAGCGCGAACGACCTTGAACCCTACCTCGTCAACTCGCCAATAGTGGCTCACGCGCGACTCCAGGAGATAGTCCCGCTTGGGGAACGACTGAGGCAGGCCCAGGGGTTTGAGTTCGACCTCGTAGCCCACATCACCAAGATTATCAACAAACCGCCCTCCCTTCAAGTGCCCACTCGTATCGTCGTTCGCAGGTTCTTCATCCCCCCACCCAACACCACTGACCCCTATTGGCGACAGCGATTCGGATGTCTGGAATTCTTTCAACCAAACGCCAAATTCACCTTCATGATTGCCGAAACCGCCGAAAGTGTGTTTCACGCTGGATCTAGTCTTCCTGTTTTTGCTCTTACCGGTCCCCTAATTCCCTACGATAGCAAATTGAACGTTAAAATATTTGAGTCCCTCTGCAAGTCGTGCGGTAAGTCGAAAACTTTTTTGTCACTATTTTCCTTCATTTCAGTGTCAAAGTGCTCACGTAGATTTTGTTGAATTTCTTGGCAACACAATGCAACCTATTTGACGGGTACAGTGAAAATGTCGATTTCATTATCAAATGAAGACGCTCCACAAACTTAAGGCCAACTAACTGACTTGATTACGATAGAAGTGGTTGTTATGGCCTACTACCTGAAGAATGCAATTCATGTTATTTATCTTGCGTGTTTGCACAACTGTTGACGCATGCATCTCAAACTTCGGATGCAATTGAGTAAAGCAGATCCACGTGGATTTGCGTCACTTCTAACTATGAAGGCAAATGTTGTGCGAAGAGGGCAAATTTTCAGGTCAACACAATGTTAGAGTTCCATGACACACCATTGGCTGACGCATGGTAATTAGTTGGTAGGTATTCTTAAACTTGTAAGGCGGTCACATCTAGCCCTTTATTGATTGGACAAAAATAGGTGTTGTGGCCTTCAATCAGATTGCGGCACTTGTTCGAGTGCCGTGAACTGACAATTTTATACCAAACGTCTTTCATTCATTTCTGAAAATTGACAATTCAGCAAGTCACTGTAGCTGTAATGAATGCAAATGGTACTTATGCTTATGTGGCAGAAGTCTATGCAGTATGCACGGTTAATTTCATGAGTGGGCTTTCAGGGAAGTCAATACTACAGGCGCGAGAAAGTTGGAAGTTCATAATTACCTACAACAAATCTGTGATGAGTGTCATTTTATATTACAAAGTAGGCGGTAATGAATAATTGCAAAACCAAAACTGCCCTGATTCAAGGCAAAACTCACAAGACACAAGAACTTTTAACTTTATCCGGAAAGATTTGATGCTAACAATTCATTCGAGGATTCCAGAACTTTTGGTTGAACCCAGTCATTGCTCTATGGCGTTGCATGTTTACTTCAAATTTCAATTTTTTGATTCTGGCCATAAGTGAGTGAATTTGCACGATTTATTTACTTAGATGCCCCCAAAGTCAACTCATTCCAGACCCAGACGGTTCCGTTTGGCGGAAATTTCAACACGACCTGCATCGCAGAAGGCAATCCCCTACCGGATGTGATGTGGTTCAAGGGCGCCTATCCAGTCGACTTGGTCTTCAATGGTCGTGGCCTACGCGTTGACATCATCCAGTAAGTCATTTAGAAATTCCACCACTTGCGGTGATGGTGACAATGAAAAGCGTATTAATCGTAGGGACTCTTCATCTGCAAGATGCTTCTTCCAGTTGGTTCAATCCATCACAAACTGTTGATAGTTGGATGTCAGCGCTCAGTCGACTCAATGAAAATGCGTCCAGTTGGCGAATCAGTGTCACGCAGTGGACATGGAAGTTGTGAATTAGTTGATTCGTACAATGTCCCAATAAAGAACAGTGAGATTTGGCGACGAAGCGTCAAATCACGCCGGTTGGCGCAAGAAGATTGAGTCAGCCAAATTCCTTTTTTTGTCATGCGTTAAACAGAAGTGAGTTGTGCAAGGGCTTCACGCACATGTTGGAACATGAAAACAGATGGTATTAGCTCTCGTGCGCTCACAACCTCTCACCTCGTGCCAACAGCCTATTTTTAATTTTTGGTTACGTGTTAACCCTTGTGGAATTAGTTGCTGCGTTTGAAGGCCATACCCGGCTCAAACGAAAGCAAATCTGTCCTATGAAGTGGAAGACGGAGAAAGAGTCTATAGTTATATACCTTGTATGAATACTACTGACGGCCTTAAATCGCTAAGTACATAAACTGCATAATCAGACTGCGTGCCACTGAAGTGTGTGAACAACCGATGCGAAATATCCCAAGAGGTGCGCTAGGCAGATCCAAAATTCTGTTTCTTACGAACTAGTCTTCTCCACCAGTGACATCTTGTGCAATCAGTTCGGCTATCCTGCTTTCCAAAATGTGCAATTTTGTGCTCAGAAAAAGGAAAGGAATGTCAGCAATTTGTCAGTAGGCTTGTTTCGCAAACTCGCTTTCTGTGTTTCCCTCACTGACGTCATCGTGCTCTACAGGTTGAGCAACAGCATTCGACACGCCATTCTGGAGATCGAAAATCTCATTCTCCTGGACAATGGTGACTACACGTGCAAGGCCTCCAACGTCCTTGGCATTGCGCAGTCTGTGCTCAAACTACGAGGTAAGGTATCTTCAAAGTCAATATTAGCTTGTCAAATACTTCTCAGCACTTTAGAACTCGCTACAATCGATTATTAATACATGTCAGGGTTACCAGCTAGCAAACCTTTTTTCAAGGTCAAACCGTGCAATTTGGTACATATCCTCTTTCTGTATTTAATAACCAGTTAGTAATCTTCAAAGCTAAATAATCGTGTACCAGTTTCAGATTGCCATAAATAAAAATTAATCACGATGCTGACTGCCTTTTTACCAAAGTTTCGGCTCAATATTTGCCGTGTAATTTGCCAATAGTAACCCCATGTAATGTTTTTTTTGAACCAGTCATGGATTAAGGTTGACTTTTAACTCAATTAATGATCATAGTACTATTTCAAACAATTCACTTATATTTTTGTAATCAGTTTTAAGTATTTTGAACGCCATTTAATTGGAAGCTATGTGCTTTGATAACAAAGGAATATGATGTAAACGCTTAAAGCAATAAATTTTGCCGTGTTTTACAAAAGTTTTACTTGTTTTGCACATTAGTTACAACAGCCGGCGTACCGCCGTCAAAGCAGGAAGATGCCATGGGTAGGTTATTTGTGTGCGACCAGTTCTATTCCAACATTGTTTGATTGAGTAAAAAGACGAAACAAGGACATTAGTCAAATTAAATTAATCAAATTAAGCTTCTTCTCGTTAAACTTGGTTCTTTTAATGAACGGGGCTTATAAATTAATAAATTTATTAATTGCGATTGTACAGGAATCGTTTGATCCTGTTTCATGAAGACATTTGTCTGCAGCATTGCTTCCATTTAAAATATATTTTGTAGCTAATATGCAACTGATAGTATTTTAGGATGGCCAGAAATCACCTTAGAAACAGACACAAGTTATTCTGGTTCATTGCTCTCTAAAACAATTAAGTGAAGCTTTGAAAAAAATGAGGAATCAGCTAAATTTTCCGTGACTGAACACCAAAATGCGCATGCGATAGTGGTAGAGGCAAATTCGACCTAGAGAACTTGCGCCAATGACTCCATTAGCCCCGAGAAGTGTTCCGGCCTAATGGCACACAACTGTTTTCTCTGTAGACTCGAGAGATTTCGAACCCTGTCCGCCGGCAGAAAATCACTGCTTCAACGGCGGTGAATGCTACGTCAGAAAGACGGATCCCCTTGTGAGGAAGTGCAAGTAACCAATTGCACTAATAGTCCACGTTTTTAATAATTAAGGGCTGAAAACATCAGTTTTAAATGCTTTTTTTCAGCTGCAAGGAAGCCTTCATGGGCGACCAATGCCAATTTCGAACCAGCGGAATCGGTGAGTTACCAGAATTTTAAATATCACCAAGACCCCCCAATCGTATCCAAATGTCCAACTGAGCAAACCCTAAGAAGCGTTTTTTGCCGCCATTTCACATTGACTCAGGACACCAATGTCGAAAATCCCAGAATATGTTGGTAAGGTCTATCCATCAGTACGGACTATAAACGGATCGTCAAATTTTTCCTCATAGACGATGTGCTAGCAGATTAAATTAACTCGGACAGTTTGGCTATTATTTGCATAATGTTTAAATCCAGCCACACTGACAGGAAATCATGCCGGTTTGGCTACGGCGGTACTGAAATTCAAGCCCTAGATCGATTAGTTAATTAAAACATCATTTTTTAATTGGTGGAAAGCGCACGTAAAATTTAATTTGCATTTAATGCAGAATTTGTGTGAAAATTTTAAAAAAACAAAGCAATCAAACCTCATTCTTGCTTTGACATTTTATAAAATTCGTGACTCCGTATTTACGTTTTGTCGGTACCATGCTCAGAAACGTTAAGAATAAAAAAGTAACCGCTGCAAAGTGGCGCAACCAAATTAATCAGTTTGTTTTAATAATTCTTTCAATTTGAAAATTGAATTTTTGATAGCGGATAGTTTTCACAAGGGTGTACTCTCTGGATTAGCCAGTGCCAGTCCAAAGGCATGATATTTTTACAAAAAATCATTTAACAACAATTTCTGAGTTCATTGTGGGAAGTAAATAGCTGTCCTCACAGGTTCTTAAATCGTTTCCCTATTTTGACTAATTTGTAGACATCTGAGGATCAATGTTTGATAGGTGAAAAACGATTTTATTTAATCTACCTCAACTCGAGGTGTGAAAATTCTTTTTACTTGCATGTTTCACCACAATGACTAGAATTCAGACCATGTGAGTTACTATTGTGTATGCAGCCACTAAATTCCCGAAACAAATCGCGCGTTTTTAGCTGACTTTCAACCTATAACCTGCAACTCTTCGTTTTTGTTTTAATCGAAAGCCACCTAATTTATTTGCTTTGTAACAAGGCACAGATAGAATTTTTTATCTCAGTATACAGAGATATATATGAAGGACTTGTTTTCGATACGAATTGCGTTTTGTATCTTACATTGCAGTGTTTTCAACAAAGTCTACTGATCAAGTTAGCAATTTCTGGCTTCAAGTTATCCTCCAATCTGTTTTAATAACCGTTTTTGGGCTATTAGTCGTCATCATCATCTTCATCTTTCGTTGCAAGGATCAGCGACTGAGGTGAGTCATTGATTTTACCAGTGTATAGAGCTGAAATTTCAAAGTGTTAGTCGATCATGTTGATTTGAAAATTGTGGCTTTCAAGAAGCTTTACTGGAAGTCGAAGACACCATTGCCATCGGTGAATTTTATTTGTTGGCTGTCGCGAGACTCAAGTCGTACATCTAGAACCTTGAATGTGATTAGTTTGTGACCAAGTGTGTTTCTTTTCTTAAAGACGGAATCGAAAAATAATGCGAATTCTCGAAGGACGAAACAGCGATGTACTTTGCAAATCTCAGGTGCGTTTATTGGGCTTCAATCCTCATATAGATATTCATCTTCATTTTTTTCGAAAATCCAAGATAGATACTAGAAAAAACATGGTGATGCTTTCGGACAAATGCGCAAAACGAACACACCCACGCGCGTGTGACTTTTTTTGAAAAAGTAGGGGTTTCGCAAGTTAATAAATTAAAACAAAACTTGGAGCTGAAGGCCATCCCGATTTTCTTTTCTGGGAGAACGCGAGATGGCAAGTAAATGCCCTAGTAAAGGCCATTTTTTTCATCTTTAATTTGTAGTATGTTCAAGTGAACACAATCGACCCACCGCCCCCGCCAATAAAGAATACACGATTCCTTAGTCGACAATCGCAGCACCAACAAACTCCAAGTTTAGCTCCCCTGCTTCCACAGACACCCCATTACGCGCGTCTTCCGAACAACGTTTTTGACTTTAACCTGGGACCCCCTGCTTCGCCAAGTGTAGGTGAGCTTTAGTTGACATTTTCAAAATTTCGTAATGTCCACATTTCTGAAATTCAACTGTCATTGGTGTCTGTGTCTCTCAAGATGTGGTGTCAATTTAGACAGTTAAGTTCTATTTAGGAAAACTGTTTGGCACAGAGCCAGTCTATTCTAGAGCCGTTTTTTACATTTGGGGAGAACAAAAGGCAGATTTTTCACTTCCCATCCAGTCAAGCTTGTTCCGGCATGGTGTAGTTAGAAAAACGATGAAAATGACGAAAGAAGAGCCGGATATTAAGTCTTGGAAAGAGGTGCGTTTGTACAGGATAACAAGTGCGCTTATATAGCTCCACTAAGCATCGATTTTTGAATGAACAGAGTTACGTGAAGTGCATTCAATAAAAATCGATTGAATCGTGTTTACTCACGCTCGCCCCCAGGCTGTGCTTGCTTGCTCCTTGCCGCAAGCTTCTGTATCAAATTACCGAGGAATCGAACCGAGCTTCTACCATTCAAATGAATGCACATTTATAACCATTTAATTAATCATTTTCACATCAAAGGTTCCTTCGTCCTGGTATTTTTTTTAACAAAGGTGTTAATGGAACATCGACCTTACACAGTTAGTTTCATGTGGAAAAAATTTACACCATATTGGCGCTACTTTTAATGGGCTTCCTTGTCTATCTGGCATTACTTTCTAACAATTTTAACAAAAATTTCTCTTTTAGGTTTGGCTTTGGGTCACAAACGTCACTTTTTTTCTGGTTTGTGAGCAACTTTGGCGACACTAAAAATTTTGCCATTTTTCCAGGTAACAAAACATTTCGCGATGACTCCTTGACAAGGCCTCGTATTACGTCACTTCAACAGCCTCAACACCTTGGTCTTCAGGTGGGCACACTGGATCCAATTGAAGAACACGAATCCATCGGAGAGTTTGACCAGCAACCACCGCCGTCCAGGCAGACCCAATATTTGTAACGCCAGGATCGTCAAATTGCTCCACACAATACACATGGCAGTGAAATTCCAACACAGAGTGCTTTGCCTTTCCAAAACTCACGCGCCAAATAGCGAACATAGTTCTTTTTCAGATTAACTTTCAGTGAATTTTTTTAAAAGAAAAGAGCATTTCTATTATGCATTGAATCATGTCCAAATATAAATGTGAGGATTTTGTCATAATTTTTTCGATTCTATGTCAGAAATACTGCACCGGCTATGTTGAGTTGTTTCTTGGCCAGGCAGATCTTTTAACAAAAAAAAACCCACTCAGGAGAAAAATTTTGCATCTACTCAGATCAAAGTACAAACGGCCTGAAGATATCTCCTAAATTGTCCTATTTACTCCCAAGTTGAGGGATTATTTTGACATGTTTGTCTGAAGTGATGTAGGCGCTTTTAATGTGTGCGTCAAATGGTGGTTCAAAGATAAGAAAGGAAATAGAAAATATAGCATCCGCCCTTTTTTAATTAGCTTGCGGTAGATCTAACAATAGTGACTCGCGTTATAAGTTTTGTGCCAGAATACTGGCGAGTTATTCTGACGCAAAATAAACTAATTTCTTCTTGAAAATAACCTTTTTTTGGAAAATATTCAAAATTTATTAGCGTGCCATCCAAAACTATAATACGAAATAAAATTAAGATTGATACTGGCTAAAAAAGTGCAGTAGAAGACGCGTTTATTTTGAATACCTCCTGACAGGTGTCATTAACCCGAGCATGCAATGAGACAGCCAATGAGCATCGAGTGTAAGAGGATGAGTCACGCGTGAATGATTATGGCAGTGGAAATTGGCTGCCACTCTTGATTGGTGGGTGTTTGGGAAATTGGGGGTATTTGAGTACTTAACCGGAAGTGTGTGTCTGTGAAAGGCTGCCTAGCCTCACAAGACCCTTCGAGTTCAATATATTCAAAAGAGTCATCTTTGAAAGGACAATTCCCAATTAACCTCTCCCGTTTCCCAGCTACACACGTTCGCGTGTGGATTAATATTGTGGTAATTTTAGCACTCGATTAGTGACTTAGCTAAATCACATTAAGTGATATAAACGGTGAATGCCACAGCTGAGTACGACTCATGAACCGACATTAACTTTCAACACAGGCAGTGG